TATATATATATATTTCATATATTAGTTATGAGACGACAGAAACTTACGATAACCGGAGGAAAGACGGCTCAGGTTGAAGTTTGACTGGGAGATGTCGACTCCAGACCGACGGCTCGGCCTCCAACTTCACATTTCGGGCTCCAACTCGCAATTACCATGTCGATTATGCAAAAAAGATACAATTTGTAAGCAAAAAGTAGTTCCTGCACTCTAAGTCCAAATGCGTTTCAATAATTCGGAGTACTGTTTCAAAAAGATTTGTTGTCCGGCCTCGAGTGTATATTTTCTCTGTATTTGTAAATTTCTCTTTGTATTTTTTTGTCTGTACGTTTTGAAGGAGGTGAAAAAAAAAGGGTATCAATGAATACCTTTTATACACAATTTTTCTCACGTTTTTCTGCACGAAAATTGTGGAATGATTTTGCCAATATATTAACCAAAATATGTGGATTCGGTTTTGTTTAAACGCATGAATAGTTGTTGCAAAAATTATGGAATGATTTTGCTCAGATATTACGTTGAATCAGTTATGGTAAAATGCGTGAATAATTAATGCGAAAATTATGGAATGATTTTACTAAGATATTAAACAAAAAATGAAACGACAAAATCTAACTTCTTTCAATAAGAAAACAATATTTCCGAAAATGAAGGCACTATATGGGAGTTTCTCTACATGGTTATCTGAAAGAAAAATAAGGATTGAATTTTTTAGGATATTAAACAAATTAGGATGAGATTCTTTTTTTTTTTTTTGTTTATTCTTAAACGTCTAAAGAAAATTGTAGACTGAATTAAGCAAAACAAATCAATCCAATTTTTCTTTTTAGAAAACAATATTTCCGAAAATAAAGGCATTATATGGGTACAAATATTATGGGATAATTAAGGCGTGTATCATCAACAGAATTTGGGTACGAAAATTAAGGCATTATTTTTGGCCTGAATTAAATCTAATACAAAAAAATTAAAATTATATCTTTTTGAATTTTTTTAAAGACTTTCCACAAATGGTAAGTCAAAGCTTTTTTGACCAGATTTTTTAAACTTTCCTCAAATGAATTAATTACCTTCTTCTTTCAATATATATAGATTTGACCAATTCATTATCTTGGTCTAACATTTGTTTCAACCCAGCAACAATACCCTCATGCAATTTGTCATCATCAGATCCTTTACTGCAAAAAAAAAAAATCAATATATGTACAAAAAATAAAATTCAATATTTTAAATTCATGTATATAAGATAATTAGAAGTTAATATATACATATATATATCTTATATAATAAAAAATAATATACCTGACAGCATAATAAAAAAATAATATCTTCTAATTAACTTCTAATTATTTACATAATAAATAAGAAATAACATAATAAAAAAGAAACTATCATTTTTTTGGTAAAAAAATAATATACCTGACAACATTAATTCTATTGGAAACTTCATTTTCAGTATCATATATGTAAAGTTGCGCAAACTTTGGAGTAGATCCTTCGGTAGGAAGCAAACTACCAATCAAATGATAGTTTTGTCCATGCAAAGCAAAAACAGGCGGCCCTGACCCCTTATTGATATCCGCATCAATTTTACCGCCCATTGAAGTGAAACCAAACATGCTTTTGTAAGATCTTATATTTTCTTGAAAATGTTTGCTCATGTGGCCATCTCCATAAAGCAAATCTTTCAAAAAATGTGGAGGGTCTCTTACGGAAGGAAGCTCTACTAATCCATTAACACAACAACCACTGTAATCTGGACAAACAGGTTTTAAACGATGAGTCTTTCTTTCATCGTACCAAAACTTTGCTCCGCAATGTTTACAACAGTAGGTTGCATCTCCCATGTCCCAGTATTCTACAATTTTAAAAATATAATAAATTTATTAGATGTTATATTACAATAACATGATAATATTTGACTAAAATTTATAATAAAAGAAAAAAAAAATACCGGGTATTGTGGATGTTGATCCAACAATCTTTCTAGGACGACCACGCTTTTTCTTTTGTACAGTGGGATGAATGGGGTCATCTTGAGTTAAATCGATCACAACACTCGCATTTGATACAGAACATGGTTTGTACCGCTTAGACGACGGAATCGTGATTTGTGGAGTAATAATCATGGGAATTTCTCTTTTGTCGTCGCTCAAAATGTCTATGACGATGGTTTCAGATCCACGAATATTAGGAGTATTCGAACTTTTTTCACGAAAGCTATACTGGCCTAATTATTTAAACAACATAAAAAATTAGTATATAACGATACTAATTTTTTCAAGAATATATATATAAACTGAAATATAAATGTAATACCATTTGTAATGTCAGAGAAGGGCATTTGATTTGAAGCACTTAATGAACTACGCGATCCAATATTCAGTTGACGTTTAGTAACAGTTGATTCAGCGAACATATCTGAATCCATAGTACCTAGTCAAAATAAGAGTATTGCAAGATGAATTTGAATTTATTTGTATAACACGTAATATAAAATGTACATATTTAAAACACAATAATAATAAAAAAAAATAAAGGAACATTAATCACATATTAGAAATTTGAAACAAAGTATCACTAATAAATTGTACAAAGTATACAAAGATGTTGAAATATTAGGCTGCATATCAATATTATACAAAAGACCCAATTTTATCAGCCCAATTTATGCAATGAATCCACAAACTTGTATTGCATATCAGTTTTCTAAAAAAAGGGCCGATTTAATGAACCCAAGTTTACCAAGTAAGTCCAAATACAATTTTTTTTTTAATTATTCACTTTAACAAAAAATCGGGCCCAATTTTATTAAAAAATCAGACCATATTTTTGTTAAAAGGCCCACTTTTTTTACTTTGTTGATCTGAATCGGTTTTTAGGCCCCAACTTTTTACGTCATATCATCCAACGGTCAAAATTGATACACTTGTAACGATCGGACGGACACATTTTGTTTGGAAAGGATATAAAAGGAAAAAAAGTTGCTCTAGGTTTTCTCATTTCTTCTCCACACCGCCTGCAACATGTTCTCGAAATATCTGTCGGAATTTACCGACAAAAAAAAATTCGGATTTCCCAAAAAAAAAAAAAAAAAAATTCAAATCCCTGCCAGATCTTAACACTTTCTATTCAAATACCGAAATTATTGTAAGATCTATGTTTGCTTTACAGAGAAATATCCGAATTTTTAAAATTTCTGACCTGATTTTTCATAAACAAACGTCGGGCTTCTCGTGACGAAATAGATCGGCCAGAATTGAATCATTTTATGTTAGTCGGTCGTCGGGTTCCAACCATAGATGAAGATCACGAAACAAATGGAACAATATTCGAAGGTTGTATTTTTTTTGTTTCGTTTTTTGTTAAATTGTCAATTAATTTGACTATGTACTTAATAGATTTGTGCTAATACCAACGCAAATGTCCAGATGTTTGTAACCTTGTAATGTTTTTTGCAAATTAAGAATAAATCTGATAGTACTATAAGATATATGTCAAATTCAAGTATATTGGACCAAAAAATTTGTGTTTTACGAACATACTATTGAAATGGACAATTGATTAAACGTTTGTACATAACAGAACTTTCATAGAATTTTTATTTATCTATCAATCTTTTATTTTATTACAATTTTGTGACTCAGTGTATTGTTTGATCGGTTTTATGTGTTCTAATCAATATTTTTTCATCTTGTATAATTGTTTGCGAGCATGGTCCGATTTGAAGACAGTTAACAGCAAAATAGCAGAGAAACTGTGAATTTGAGGCCGAACATTCAACATGTTTTAAATTACAATGAACGATGAAGAACAACGATCGACTACACGAAGGTTCGACTTTTTTTGGATTTAGTTTTTGCAATAGTCCATATATATTAGTTTTTTCGAAATGTTGTTTAATTTCGATGTTGAATTGAAAGGTGAAAAAAAAATTGAGAGCGGCAGTAGAGTTCCAGTTCCATGGAAGATGAGGAAAAAGACAACAAGAGGTGTAGTACTAAAGGTGCGTAAAAACAGAAATTGCATCAATTTCCAAAACATTATAAAATACTGATTTCTATTATATATAGATGTTATTTTGATATACATTGATTTGTATTAACATTTTTGCTTTCAATGTACAAAATGCATGTCCAATATGGAGATAAAACAAACAAAAGAATGATCACGGAATCAAGCAACACAATTGATATGGCAATATGGTCTACAAACAGGTAAGGTATTCAAAATTGCTAAACAAATAAGAATAGCAGTAAGATTTAACAAAATATAGTAGTAAACCATGATTGACTGGAAAAACCCTATTGTAGTTAAACAATCAACTCTAAAATAATTAGGAAGAAATTTTACCTTGGAATATGTTTACTTCATTGGTTTTTTTGCTCTTTTTGTTGTATCCCTTGTGTGTTGAATGGATTGTATCTGAGCTGAGCAAAGTCTCTATAGTTTGTGCATGAAATATGATTAGTTGCTTATAGTAAAAATTCTGAAGCAATTAAAAGGTTAGGTAACAACATAAGTTTTTGAATAAGTTTTTGAATTAGCAGGTATTTAAAATGAATTACCAACTGAAGCTTGAATGATGGCATTATTCCTTTTAATCCGTTTCTTGAATTCCTTGTCTGCATCTTTATCTACTGAATTTGGTGACCTTGAACTACTGATTTTTCTAAATGCTGAACTTGCTTGACTTGTACTGCTTTTTGATATGAATGCTGACTTTGCTGGAAGAAATTGATTATCTGAACAGCCTACTATTCAAACATTATGAACATTAAATAAATTGATTAATAATGCAAAACACACAAACATATGTTTCATATTAAAAATATGATATAATATTTACCTGCAGTTCGACCTTTGTTTTTATTGGATCCATTAGTTCTTAAACTGAATGGTATTGATGGATCGGATTCCATTCAACTTGTATGTTCTTCAAGTTCACAATGAATAGTTATCAAAAGGAATTGAATTTATAAAAACTGTAATGAAATCTGAGAATGTAGAATGAAGATCACATAATACATAAGGGATGTACACGGATGAATTTTATGAGTATTTGAATAATATGTCAGGATACGGCTTTGAAGAGTTGTTGTTGGAAAAAAAGAAGTGAAATTACTTATAAATAGGATTCTGATCAATTTATTAGACGAAATATAGGGTAGTAAGCTATATATGTGCAAACAGGACTCTGATAGAATTATTAGAGAGAATATATGATAGTTAGGTATAGATAGAATATAGGATAGTTAGCTTTAGAGAGAATATAGGATACTTAGATTTTGAGAGAATATAGGATAGGATAGCTATAGAGAGAATATAGGATAGTTAGATATAGAGATAACTACAAATGATTTTTCAATATGGCACATGTTTTATAGGGTGCTTGTTGTTCTGCTTGCTGTATATTTACATATAAATTCACGGCATATAAAAGTTATTTATTTGATACATGTTGTATAGAAATCGACCATTCACTAAAAATAATACGATTTTAGATTTGTGGTTATCAATAATAAATTTGCTTATCAGTTGTTTTACATTATAAATTGATATTTAATGTGCAATTTACACAAATCTATATATTAATAATAGATCAACTTATATTATATTAAATTAATACTAATGCTCGCTGAGTGCAATTAATATAATGATACTTCGTTTAATTAAATTTAATAAACTAATATCACACAATTTTAATATGATTTCGTAAAAGTAATAAAGCTATCGACCTTGGCCTTTCCTTTGTCATTCGAAGCATCCACCCTCGACTTTCCTTTATCAGTGGAAGCAGATTGAGCTGTTAAAGCCAAAACT